ACACCTTGTGTTGGGAAAGCCCAAGGGTGACAAACACAACCCAAACAACCCAAGGGGAGTGTTAAGGAATGGCACATGTTCAGTCTCAGAAATGCTGTGGTGGTGGGACACCTTTCCAGCACTGGTCCAGCTCACTGGAGGGATGAATTGTAGCACAGCAGGTTTGCTGAAGATACAGTGCCAAAATGACTGACAATATAAAAGGGCAACATTCCTTTGCTGCTGCTCTTGAACTGTGCTAGCAATAAAATCGGACCAAACAAGTTAACTGGCCTTGTAAAGAATGTAAAATTAGCTCTAATCTCGTGTCCTGCACAATAATGCACTTCAGCCTCTGGAGGCACTGATGGCGTGTGTATTTTGTGGTTGACAGCAGCTTCAATGTAGACCAGTTTATATAAATTAGTGGCTTTATCTGATTTTGCGGTGGTCAGAAGCATAACTCTTACTCACTGGTGTTATGGTGAAAGTCGGGATCTGGCCCTGCAGTCGGGACTGGGGCTTTTGGAACGCAGGTCTCTGCTAGAAAGCCTTGCCTTAGCCCGTCAGCGGCAAAACCCTTCCCCGGGACTCCCCTCCGACCTCGGGGCACGTCTCATTAGCAGATTAAGCCCGGAGTTAAACGAGTCCTCTGGGAGCGGAGGATGCTGCGCCTGCCCCTCCAGCTGAAACGATTTTCCCAAGGTCAGATAAGGAGCTCTGCGACTCAGATCTGGAGATAAGGTTTGTTTTGCAGAAATCCGCTCATGAATAAATCCTGGGAAAAAATCTGCGCCGAGCGTGATGTCACAGCCCTCGCCTACTTTAAAGTTCATTAAGAGGAGGGCGTGTTGAGTTCCTCTGTCATCATAAATCTCTTCTTCCCTGTGTCCAGTGGCAGGAATCCTGCCCTGCTGCCTGCAGCAGCCTGGGGCGGCAGGGATTGCTTTCCCATTCCACCTGCCTTCCCTGGCCGTGCCAGCCCGGGGTCAGCCGGAGGTAAGCGCGGGCTGGAAGCCTCGCCGCGGGATTATCCTCCCCCCGGGCTCCTGCCCTGCCAATTTTCTGGTCAGTAACTCTCTGAAAGGAGAGCGTGTCTGTGCGGCCGGGAGGGGCAGCCAGGGGAGGATGACGAGAGATGAAGGGGAGAAGAAACAGGGGCTGGATTCTTTCCAGGACGGAAAAGTGTCTGTCCAAGAGTTTATCCAAAACATAAATTAAATATTCCCTCTATCCACCATTAAGTTCCCGTGAATGGGTGGCTGTGCAGCATCCTGACACGCCGGGGAGTCAGGAAAACCACGTCTCTCTTCTCCTTCATTCCTCTGAGTTTTCCTCTGTCCAGACAGGAACTTCTGTGTCTGTTGGAGTCATTCTGTCCAGGACTCAGCCCCCAGTTGGGACACACTTATTGCCAATTTAGAATTAAACTTAAAAAGGGAAGGGGACACAGAGCAGACTCGGAGGCCCACGTCTCATTTTGAAAACTGAGCTTCCCAGTAAAATGGACCATTTCCTAAACTGCAGACCTGGACTCCTCGTGGATGCAGAGCCCTTGAATCCCAGCTAGGGCAGGGTGAGGGGAAATGATGCCTTTCTTGACGTTGATTGAGCAAAGATTAAAATTCCTGCTTGCATCCAAAGGGCAGTGAAGAGCCAAGAGCTCACAGGGCAGCAGCAGAACACAGGCCTGGGCCCACAGTCGCTCCTTGAGTCCACAGGGAGCAGAAGGATTTGTTCAGGAGCATTGAGAACGTGGATAATTATCCCTGATTGCACAAATTGCAGAAGGTGAATGCAGGAGAGCAGAGGACTGATGGGTCTGTAGAAAATCAGGAGGCAATAGGAGAGTAAGGACCTAGAAAACATCAGTGAAACTGCTGCAAACAAGAGAAGGAGAGCACAGAAAGACTAAGCCAAAGCTCTCTGCAAAGATGTTCAGGAGCAACAGAAGCCTCAACTGTGAGGCAAATGCAGCAACTCCAGTCTGGTCTCATTGTAAGATGTGGTGTCCTGGGAGGCAGGAGGGAAGCCTGTGCCAATTCCATCTGGCCAGATGGAAGGGAGAAATTGAGTCTCATTTGATCTCGTAGGAGCAGTCAAGCCTGAATTTGGACCAAAAGCACGTTGTACTGAGTTCTGGGTTTTATCCATCTGTAAAAAGTAGCAGGAACGACAGCAGGAGCCCTCACTTCCCACTGGGTCATCGGGGAACTTTCACCTCTCACGGAAGAATGGTCTTTTATTTACTGCTTTTCTCTTGTGCAGGCTGGAGCCTTCACCTAAGTGTGAACGGTATCAGGGACACGAAAACTTCCCATGCAAGAAAATCAGTGCTGAAATTAATGTTGTCAGCAGGATAACCAGCAAATTCTGCCTTCCCCAGATGGCCCAGATTTTAACGGGGTCACCTTGCAAGACTTTGCCTGTAGGATATTAAGGGTCCCAAAGAAACTGTTGGGGCATAAAAAAATATTATATCCAAGAGTTGCATCACAGACAGATGTTTTTTGACAGGTCATCCTTTGCTTAACTATTCTTCCATGTACATTTCCTGACATCCAATGCATCAGTGGCAGCTCTTGGGAGTAGGAGGCTCTGAGGATGTTTGAAACAGATTAAAGAGAAGAGTGAGGGATCTACTTTTCATTTTGCAATAGCAGTGTGAAGCCCTGGAGTGCTGGGGATGTGAGGGCAGTTTCTTGCCTTACTCCCCTCATCTGACACCTTATTTCTCTTCCCCTTTTCTTTTTCCCTTCCATCACTCTTCAGTAAATCACTTAATTTTTTAGTCTCTGCATTGACTGATCCAGCCCTGCAAAGAGGCTGAAGGTCACCCTGATACAAACCCTGTGGGCATCAAACTTGATGTTTACAGTTGACCTCTGCAGTGGTTTTTTCTCCCCTTTCCACAGAGCTGTGGATTGTGAAAGAGGCAGCAAGTGCCCCCGTGCTGATGGTCGAACAGTATTTTGTAAAGATTTCCTGAAAGCTTGTGAAATTTCTCACATGTTCTTGATTTCCCTTCTGCAAGTCTGCAGAGTGTGCATAAAAAATATCCCTCAGTCTAGCCCTGAGTCCAGAAGTGAGTAAATAGCCATGAGTTTTACGAGGTTTGTGTAGATGCCAAGCCCTGATGGCCAAGGGTGATACACTGAGGCTTTCGAGGCCGAGCTGCAGTTTCAGCCATGTGCTCTCCTCCGCTTCGAGAGTCTGATCACAGCTTTTGCCTTGAAAATTACTTCCCCTGAGATAAGATTTCCCACGAAATGGCTCTGGCATATTTATGCACGCTCTGAAGTTGCTGGTTAACCAGCCAGTTGGAGAGTTTGTGGGATATAAATCCGTCAGTCGGGGTGTGTTTGTGTTCACAGATGTGCCAATGGCTTAGAAATGGGATTAATTGTAACTGTGACTCGTTTAGGAAATGGCTGAGGACTTGAGTACCTCTGCATTTTAGCCTTGCTTAGGCACAGGAAGAGCTCTTTGACCCTGCCAGAGATTAGTTTTAGTACCAGTTATGAGATAAGCTTAACTAGTCCTTAAAATTAAGCATGTTAAGCTCTGCAAGGGGTTTGTTGTGGGGAAGGAATACTGCACACATAATAACTAATTTTTTTCTGTTTATCTTGCTGTTATTAAGTTAATTGCAGGGGTTGAGTTATGAGTAGTGATGTAATTTAGACTTTTTGCTTCCTGTTCTTTCAACTTTCGGAAAGCTCAAAAGATTATTTAATCTTTAAAGTTTAAGTGGGCTTATTTTTAACCATTAAAAAACAAGATATCAGGTTCATATTCAATACACAGCAGTGTGAGAATCAACTGGATCGCATATGCTTGGAAATAGCAATAATTTTGCATTTGCAATGTAACAACCTTTTCTTTTTTCTCTTTTGCATCTTGCTGTTGGAGCCACAGAGCAATCAGCTGATGAACATATTCAATTCACTAATTTAATTTTTGCAGAATGACAGTGACACCATTCATAATGTGATGAATGCTCAGAAGACTTAGTTGAAGAGCAAAAATGATAGATTTATTCATATATAGGAGTCTTAAATAACAGAGAGATGAAATTATACCTTCCAGTAGCCTTAAAAGAAATAGAAAAAAAGTATTGTGGTTGAATCTGTTTACTGCAGGTTAATGTTTGAAAGACAGTGGTGAAAGCACAATCTCATACTTGAGACTGATGTCTCACTAGGAAAAATGAGACTGGATAAAACCCCATGGTTTTTAATGACTTTTCAAGTTATTTCTATTTCTGACCTCCCTGATGGTGTAGAAATGCAGATGGGGTGGGCTGGTTATGTCTCATTATACATCAAATCCCTGCTCCATGATTTGAATGTTTGTTCCATGAATATTCAGAATTTCCTTTGTACCAGAAGCAGGGTATCATTTTTGCTGTGTTAAAAGTGAGTGGCAGGTGAAACCTTGCATATATGAGCAAAATAAATTCATGCTTGAGAATTCTCCCTTTAAAAGTCTATATTAGGATGAACACTTCATTGCACCTGGGACACCAACCTGAAATCAGCACTGCAAGTTATTACATATAATAGGCTGAAAAAATATGTTTTACTGCACCAAACATAGAACAAATAGAGAACACACCAGATATACAGGAAGGTCTGTGATTTTGGACTAAATTTACATTTTTGTATGTATGTATAGCAAAAGCAGGGACAGATTATAAATTACATGACACAGAAAATTTGCCAAGCGTTTCATATATTGGTCATTTTAGGCTAAAGATCTGGGGGTTTGTGTTAGCTCATGTAGCTTGTGAAGAACCTGTAAAAAGAGGATCAGCAGTGGGATGCAGGAACCACTGAGACACTCCTGTCCCTTCCCCATGGAACAGAAAATCATTAATTGCTGGTCTTAAATGAAGCAAAACTCCAGCGAAAACACATCAAAGGTGTTCATCGAACTGTCGAAGTCAGAAGCAGGTTTTGATTATTTCGGATTCCAAGCAGGAGCAGTTCGGCTCTGACAGTCAAAGTTTCTTGCTGCAGATCATCCTGTGGGGTCGGACTGAGAAGTGCCTGAAGGAGACCACGGAGGAGATCAGGCTGATGGGCACAGAGTGCCACTACTTCATCTGTGACGTGGGGAACAGGGAGGAGGTCTATCGGCAGGCCAAGGCCGTCAGGGAGAAGGTCAGTGGGGAAACCCTGTGGGCAGGAGGGGAAAGGAGCAGCTGGGGGAGCTGGGGGGGCTCAGCCTGGAAAAAAATGGTCTCAAGTTGCACCTTCTCACTCTCTGCAACTCCCTGACAGGAGGGGGGATCCAGGGAGGGCTCTGCTCCCAGGGAACAGTGACAGGATGAGAAGAAATGGCCTCAAGTTGCATCCCATATAGGTTGGATATGAGGGAAATCTCCTACATGGAAGGATTAAGCTTGTAAAGCCCTGGTAGGGGCCGCCCAGGGAAGTGGTTGGAGGCACCATCCCTGGGAGTGTTCAGAAACATGGGGATATGGCACTTGAGGACATGGTTTAATGGTGAACAGGGTGGTGGTGCTGGGTTGCTTGTTGGACTTGATCCTAAAGGTCTTTTCCAACCTTAATGATTCTGTGATTCTACTAGTCTATATTTGATGAGGGGAAAAAAATATTGGGAAAGAAAGAAGGGTGACCATCCAGATTGTTGTACTAAGTTTGAAGTGATCCAAAGGCTTACAAGGCAAGAATGTCAAAAGCTATGAAAACAACAATGTATTCAGGCCACAATGGCTGTTCAGCTCTAATGGTCACTCTGATGCCTGATTTGTGAGATGTTCCTTGTCACAAGTAATTTGCTGCTCCTGCAGGTGGGTGACATCACCATCCTGGTGAACAATGCTGCTGTGGTCCATGGGAAGAGCCTGATGGACAGCGATGATGATGCACTGCTCAAATCCCAGCACATCAACACCCTGGGACAGTTCTGGGTAAGATCAGCTCTTGTATCCCCTGCACTCACAACTGGGAAGAGAGTGAGAGATTACAGCCAGAAATGGCTGCTCTTAGGTCTTCCTAAAATCAGTCTGTCACAAAAACAAGAGGGAAAAAACAATGTGAGGGGCAAAGGCCAGAGGAACAGGGTCTAAAATAAATATGATTTTTCCAGTAGTAACTCAGTATGTGATGCTCTTTATTCCCATTCTGTCATTTTCAGTATAACATTTGATGTCTTTTGAGAAAGCCTGAGCTCACAGGATGGTTTTCTGTATGGTGCTGTATAGGGAACATCAGAGGAGCATGGGATTACATTGCTCAGGGAGCTCATTCTATTTTGAGTTGGGCAATAGAAATGAAAAAAAGAGCTTCTTGTGATTTCATCACTTTGCTGAAGACTTTATCCTGTACAAGTTCGTAAGCACTCCTTCCTGGCCCTTATCTGTGGGTGCTGCTTATTTACATGCTAGGAAGGATTCTGTTGTGTTTCCACACAAACTGCCTGCTTGGAGTCTCTCAGAAAATGACAAAGCAACAAGGTCCTGTCCCACTCCTTTCCCAGCATAATGAACAGAACACTTTGGCTCTGTCTCCGTGTCATCTTATCTTCTTCAGTAACTATTGTTTTGTTGTATCTCTGCTGAACAGACCTTTTTTTCTTTTTTTTTTTTTTTCTTTCTTTTAACTCTGTTGTTCTCCAGACCACCAAGGCATTCCTGCCAAGGATGCTGGAGCTGCAGAATGGACACATTGTCTGCCTGAACTCTGTCCTGGCCTTGTCAGCCATCCCTGGTGCCATTGACTATTGCACCTCCAAAGCCTCCTCCTTTGCCTTTATGGAGAGCCTGACCCTGGGGCTGCTGGACTGTCCTGGAGTGAATGCCACAACAGTGCTGCCCTTCCACACCAGCACAGAGATGTTCCAGGGCATGAGAATCAGGTCAGTCCAGGGGAACTCGAATAAAGCATCTCATTTTAAATGAATCATCAGAATACACTCCTAATTAATGCTTCATTTAGTTAAGAGAATTCGATGTCTCATTTGGCTGCCTGGGAACAGAGGGTCACTCTAGGCCACCTGGGACTCATCAGACTGGTTCCCTCAGTGTGCTGGAATAATCCTCCAGCCTGTTCTGAGGGAGACATTGGATTCTACAGGGAGAAATAAAGCTGTTTTTCCCTGTGCAGCCCCCAGAGAGGGAGGGGAGGGAATCTGCAATTGAGGTCATGCAAGAGGAGCAGTCTACAAATTACTTGAGAATTAACAGTACAAGTTCCTTCTTTATTCCTTGAAATAATTCTTTCCCACTGAAAGGAATGACAGCCACTTTACTGAAGTGAGGCCATCAGTGCCTCCTTTTTCCCTCTGTTCAAGAGAACAACTAATGGCTGACCAAATTAATCTTTTACAATGGACAAAATAACCTATCAGTATAGTTTGTGCTCTCTTAGTCAAGAAAATATGCATTGTCAAGCTATTGCTGGAGCTGGGAAAAACCTTATGTTTGGTATTAAAAGCAATGGAGGAAAATATTTGTCTTTCACCTGTCAAGAATTTGAATTAAGCAAAGAGCAACAAAAGGAAAAACACCAGCACTGAAAAGACAGCATTTGGTATTGGTTTGCATTCAAATTAAGAAAAGCCCGGAATCAAGGCTCTGAATACATTCTGCCACTCTCCCTGAAGGCACCAACATGTACATTCTTAACTGTTTAGGTAACCCAGCAGTACTGGTTGGAACTGAGCTTTCTGTTTTCAGGCTTTTTGGCTGGAACTGGAACGTTCTGCCTTTTCCAGCCTGCTTGGGATATGTTTGAAGGCCAGTAACAAGAGATAGTTTGGAGTAACAGGACTTGGACAGTGATATCTTAAAGGAGGAGCTTGATTAACATGTAATTATTTTAATTTTTACTTTATTTATTCAGGTTCCCCAGTCTTTTTCCTCCCCTCAAGCCCGAGACAGTGGCGAGGAGGACGGTAGAAGCTGTTCAGACAAACCAAGCCTTCCTGCTCCTTCCATGGACAATGCATGTTCTTGTCATCCTAAAAAGGTGAGTATTTCCTTTGCCCAGCAACAGCCTGCCCAGGCAGGGAAGGTTTTCTTTTGTCTGTCCAGGAGGCAAACCTCAGGCTGACTGTAAGTGCCATCCCAGATCAGATGGATCATCCCCTTCCCTTGACAGACAGAGCAACAGAAGTAAAAGGGAGACACTTTCTGAGATTCCCTTTGGAGATGCTTTCCTTGGGTATAATCCCTTTATGAAACAAGTTTCACTCCCCAAATTTGGATTTCTGAGGTCTGAGCTGGATTTGTGTCTAGGAAGTTTCTTAACATACACATGTGGTGAGTTTTGATTTAGTAAGTGACTCGTTGGACTCTGGGCTTCATATTGTACAGGATTTCTGTGCCATTAGGTCTGTACATCACAGCTGGATGGAGAGAGCATTGCTTGTGCTACAGCAATGAAACTATTAAACCAATATTTTTGTGTATGATTAGGACGGGAATTTTAAGATCCCTAAGGAAAAAAAAGTCATAACTTCATATCCTGAAACAACCAAAGAGAAAGGACATTTAGCACTGTGTTTCCATGACAGTTTGCACTAAAGCCTTTGGAAAAGCTGCTTCAGTCAGGAACTGAAACAAGGCCGTGGGATTTCTGTGGAAAATAATTCCAGTATTGCATTTCAAACAAGAAAAAACAAGTCACAATAAATGCTTTGCTCTGAATGAAAAACTTGGGATAAAAACTCCCAGAAATTCTACCAACAAGAAAAAGGGCTGTTCTCCTTTACTGTAAGAATTAATCATTCATTTTCCGTTCCAGTAGCTGTCAGGAAATTAGATCTCTGTCCATACCTTAGGATAAGGAGGCCACATGTTTTGCACAACCAGATGGCAAGTTAACCAGAGAACTCAGGTTAAATTTGTGTATTTCAGAGAACAGTGTTTGAGAGGAATAAAAACATGATGGTATCTTCCAAGTTACAGCCTTTACAAGACTTCTTTGGATAAATATTTCTGCAGAGAAGGAGTAACTGGATGGAACTTTCTCCCTTTCAGGCCTCCTCACAGCAGGACACTGTTGGGTCTGTGTGCTCTCACCAGCTGATGTTTGAGAATGTGTGTATTTATATATCTAAATGCATATTTACACATCTCTCATTAGGGCAGGCTGAGGGGTTTGTCTCATCTGCTTCTTCTCTTCCTGCTTCTCTTCCAGCATTCTCCCCCAGGCAGCACTTGAAGAAATCCACAAGTTTTCCGGGAGCTACACCTGCATGAACACTTTTAAAGGAAGAACATAGAGCTGATGGCACAGGGACTGTTCCTCAGAGAGCCCCACAGGAGCACGAACCCCCTGACAGGACTGGGAATCAGCAGCCTTGGCTTTTAGCCTGTTCATGTGACTTGTGCTGCTCTGAGGCAGCGCATTTCTTGCAGGTCATATCCATAGTAACGTGACCTTTGCACAGGATTGAGGGACTGGACTGCGGACCCTTGGAAAGGAAAAAAAACAGAACGTGTGAAATGTTTCTATGGTGTTTAATTCTTTAGAGTTCAATTGTTAAATCTACTCATAGTTTTAAGATGTAATTTTTGTTTCTGGAGTGTCTGTGGGCTGTCCCAGTGGAGAGGCAGCACTTCCCATGCCAAACACACTTTGTCCCCTCTCTTCAGAGGAAGTGCCACTTGGTTTCATTTCTGCTTTTTGAAAGGGGAACTGAAAAAGTGCTTTGAGGAACTAAAAGTTATGGACATTTAATGGAAGTTTCTCTCCCTTCCTTTGCCTTCCATCCCTTCCTTCACTTTCCATTCCATGATGAAGCTGTTCCCAGCATACACTGGGGAAGGAGCAAACCTTGGAGCAGTGTTTTCTTTGCCTAAAGGCCACCCAGGACTTCTGTCTGGAGGGACTGAGCTGGGCCCAAAAAAAGCTGTTGTACTTCACCTGTGGAGGCTGGACAGGAAGGCTCAGGCAGCAGAGCAGTTCAAATAGTGGAAGATTCTGTCACTGAACTCATATATGAAATTTGTTCTGAATTTTTTTTGTTCATTTGTGATCGACTATAAATACATTTTTAGCATTAATCTCAGGTTGCCACACATGTAGGCAGCAGCACATGGGGATGAACTAAATCTAGAACTAAAACTAGAGCCTGCTTGTACAAACACACATTCACTGACATAATCCATGCAGAGGAAAATCCATTGTATCAGTCTGCACAGTGAGGTGGAATAATGCTCTAAAAATAGAAGAGACTGTACTGTAGAGCTCATGAAAGTGAAGTTTGGAAGCACATTTAGCAAAGACCTGATTAAATGCACGTTGAATTCAACTGGGAATTTACCCATTGTGTTTTAGGGGCATTGAATTAGGTACTGGTCAGCCAAAAGTGATAAATATGCTTGGACTGAGATGCCAGAGCAGCCAGACACTATTTATTTTTGTAATGATATATTCTCTGTGACAGCCTCGGAAGGGCAACATTCCTGTGCCAGATGCAGCACTAGGCATAGGAACCTGGTGAGAACATACTGGAACACTGCTAACAGAGGAATTAATGGAATTGCAAGGCAGGAAAATAGCAAGCCTAACTGGAGACACCTGAATGAAGCGCCTCAAGGAAGGACATGTGATTAAAGGAGTGAATTTAGGGCTCCTGACTCGAATTTCGAGCTTTTCCATAGATGTCCTGTGTGACCTGAGGCAAAATGCATCATCTGAAGGAGCACCCTGACCTGCAAAGCAGATATTTCTAGTGTTTCCCTACCTCAAAAGTTGAAAGTTTGGCTACCTAAATGTCTGTCAGAAGCTCAGCAAATTCAAATGCAACATGCTACAGAAAGGAAAAGCAGTATTTGTTCATGAACCAAGAGGTTCTATATGAAAATTTAGACAAGGAAAAAAACCATATGCCAAAATATATCATTTCCTAAAAGAGATCTGAGTTACAGCAGAAAAGCTGTGAGCTGTATTTGAAATATTCCTTTGGTCCTGCCATGTAGAATGGAGACTGCTGAGGTGCCAAGGTGGGAATGTTGAAATCAGAAGGTCTGAGCTCGCTGCAGACCAGCAGATTTCTCTCTTCTGGAGCAGTTCTAGAGGAAGATGCTGCCAGAAGTGCCACTGGTGCAGGTCCCTCTGCCTGGGTCAGTGCAGAGCTGTAGCACTGTGCCAGCTCTGAACAGGTTTCTTACATTGCAGTTTTCTTTGGAATTCCTGGATGTCTGAGGCTCTCTGGAGAGGATGAAAAGAAACTTTGTGGTTTTGAGGCCCACCTCAATAGTTGCTTTCAGCTTTATTTTTGTGAGTTTTTTGAGAAGGAACTCAGTTCACTGAAAACACAAGTGCCATGAGGGGAGAACCTTTCTGGGATCTGAGGGTACCAGATTCATCCAGAGAGGCTTGGGAGGGGAGGGGATGATGATTCCAACCTCCCCTGGAGCACTCTGATCCTTTCCAGTTCCTCAGCAATCCCGGTCAGGCATTCCAGGCTTGTGGCTGTAAGAGCAAATAGCCCTGGTGAAAGAGCAGTGCCCCCCTGAAATGAAACCTCTCTGCTGAGATTCTGCTCCTTGGTAAATTTCTAATGCAAAAGTGAGGTAAAAACACACATTGAAATCCCCGTTCACCCCCAAATCCTGTCCCTTGGATGGATCTGCTCTTTCCCTGCACCACACAAAAGATGTTCCCAATCTTTGGGGTCTGTCTGACACACTCAGTGCTGTTGATTTCTTTCTAATGAACATAAACAAGTCAGAAGGGAGCTGAGACTCATCATCTCGCTCCTCTCATCCTCACACACACAAACTTCCCTCTCTCTCTCCCCTCAGGGTCCTGGAGCGGCCAGCGGGTCAAATAGCAGTCACAGTGGGGGGAGAGGTATGCAGCAAACAGGGAATAATGAGGAAAACATTGACTTTGCTTTTCAGATAGTCAGGAAGAGCTGGGGAAGAAAGTTCCTTCCCTTGGGAGCGTTGCGAGGTAGGAAGCTCTCGCTGGCAAACGGGGACGGACTCACTGGAAGAGGTTTTTTTTTAATAGAAAGGCTCCACTGGAATGCCTGCTGGGCTCTGCTGTCCCTTCCACATAAGGTTAGTGTTGGGTAATCCCGAAGTGCTGCAAATGTGGACAAGCTTTGTTGAAGCCTAAGGCCTTCTCAAAGGAATTTCCGCCCTTTGACTTATTTCAATTTTGGTTTTCCCCTCTCCCTGCACTGCCTCCTGCTCTCCTCTGCACAGTTATTTTCTTCCCTTCTGTTTTCCTGTGTCATTGCTGCACTTTTCCATGCCACCATCTTGAGGCCAGATGTCATCCAAGAGTCTGGAGTAAATCGGGATCGGGGTGCACGTTTATTATCTGGGTGAAGCTGTAGGAGAAGGTCACAGCAGTTTCATAGGAAATTAGTTTGACTTGCTCCAAACTATGAAGAAATAAAAGGGTCCTTCCTATCGCCTTTGTACAGCAGATTGCTGCTGGTTTAATATTTGAATGCTAGAGAAATGTGAGCTGTTTTGGGACATGTTCCCCTGACATAAAAAGGCCCTATTTAAATGGGAGGATTTTTCAGTTCCAGGTGGTTTCAGAGGGTGGTGTTTATACAAAGTAATTTTCAGAATTAGCAAGGCAGGGCAGGGAGAGGAGGAGTCCTTTGTGAGGGAATCCGATCCCTCATGTTCAATATTTCATGTGGTGGTTTTTGATGAGAAAAAAAAATGCAGCCTCATGCACCACTGGTGAACTTTTTAAAAAGGTCCTTCCAGCCATATTCCTGCTGATGGCATGTTTTTAGCAGGATGATAAAAAGGAGCGAGCCCTGAAAGTGGGAACTTCACCCTACCCCACTCATCCATTGTTCTGTCGAGGTTAAAAAGCAACAGAGTCCATCCCTCTAGTTCTTCTAGAACTGCACAGAAAGTGCCTGGGCAAGTGGTTCTGATGTTTGCAAAGAGAAACTTGTTGTACTTTTATGTAATGTGTTAATTAGTGTGGGTGGGTATGATCAGATCTAGTCTTGCAAGCCTTTCCGACAACTCCCTGAACACTCCCACCTTCAGATATTAACAGATAGCACTGCACTTGCCAAGGCTCATAAAAACCCAGTAACAGACTTAATGCAGGCAGAGCAGAAGTGGGTGCATTTGTTTCCAAGAGAACACATGTGCCTGTAGCAGACATTAACGTGGCCTGGTGCTTTCCTCGAGCTGAAATGCAACTGTTGAGGGAAGAGCACAGGGTGACCTTGGATCGTCTCCTTTGGTTTTTTATTTCTTCACGTGGCTTTAATAAACTTAATCTGGGCAACAGCCACTTTTTTGACAGCACTTGTTCCTAAGTTTGGGGTAAGGCAAGATTCTGTCAAATGCAGTCTTTTGCATTTTTCACCAAACAACCACCAGCCCTGAGGAACAGAATATTCTGCACTGTTTGTAGCTCTCACCTCCCCGGCACTCAGATCCTCCAGCCTGGTGTGTTTGGAGACTGAGCAAACCTGTCAGTCACCAGCAGCAGTTCCACTCTCTAGGGAACAGGATCCTCTTTGTCCAAGTGCCTTTCTGAAGGAGATGTTGTGAGTAGTGGCAGCCACAGATTCAGTAACATGAGGAAAAACAGAACTTCACCTTCTCCCTGCTGCTCATTGTCTTTTATCCAGTGTTTCCTGTGGGAAGCTGGCAGTTCAGACACTTCTTGCCCCCCGTCCCACCCTTTATTCTACTGAAGTCACCTCGGCACCTTTCTTCAGTCCCTTCAGGGAGCTGTCAGCTCCAACACAAACAACCCTGTCTGTCAGCTCGAGGAGTCAGATCAGCAGGGAACATGTGAGATGAGACCAGAGTCTGTTCTGGTGGAGCTGCCCCAGCCTGCAGACCACCTGTGGGAGACACAGGACACAACCTGAATGTCCCCTGCACCATGGAAGGCAGTGAGTTCCCCCTGTTCCTGTCACCTTTCCTTTAAACATAACACCCTCTCTTGTTCTTGGAACAGATCCCTCGAGCAGGAACACACACTGACCCACTGCCTGGACTGGATACAGCTGAAAATCACAGACCTCTGAGGAGACAATTTACATCTTCACACCTTCCCAAAGAGTCCAAAATTACTGGTTCTTATGCTCACCTTTGCTCTGGGCAGTGTGACATACTAATGCAGAAAAACAATCAAGGCAAAATATGTGTGCTGATTTTTTAAGCATAAATCTAGAAAGGAACAATTCCTCCTTAAATGAGGGAAGAAAGCACTCTTAACTGGAGCTGGGGAGTGATGAAGAGTAAGTATTTGAGAAAACAAAACAGAGGATAGATGCAATCTTAGGGGGAGTGAGATGGCCCTAAACAGGGAGATGCCACCTTACATTCCTGAAGTTACATAATAATAGAGGCATGTGATTTCCATCCAAATGCAGAGTCTATAAAAGAAGTGTGGTGTTACTCCTGCTCATTCCAAGGGGTCACCATGCCCTAAAAAGCAGACCATTCCCTTTGTGCCTTGCTGGCTCAGAACACCCCAATACACTGGTTCCTGGTGGCTGTCTCTTGGGTTTTTTTGAGGGAGGGAAAGCAGCCCAAACATGTAAAAACAAGGAAGGGTCACTTTGACTCACCACTCACTTTTTCCTAACCAGCTGCAAGGGCCATCCATCATGCCCTCGTTTTACAAGGACATGTGGTTCTCTGGCTTGTGTTAGTAATTGTCCTGACCTGGTGCTACTAGGTAGAAGTCGTTCTATTTTCTAATTTTTTTCTTAATCAGAAGCTTTTTTAAAATTTGATTTTTATTTTTCTGAGTGAGTTGCCTGTGTATTTTACAGGCTTTTCATAGACAGGCATCCTAGACATTAAGTTTCCCTGCCTGTGATAATCAAATTACAATGAAAAGAATACTTTGGGGTGTAGCCACCAGCTGCCCTCCTGCCTTGGGCATCACTCTTGATCTCATCACTGTTCCCAGATACTGGGCTGGCACATGGCAGTGTTAACATCAGCTGTAAGATAAGGAGGCAATTCCTTGCTATCTTTCCCAGGAAAGTCACCTATTAGTGCCTTTATGCAGAGAGACTACTGAAATAAGTGCAGGGTGATACAGT